GAGCCGGTGAGATTTGAACCGCCGAACTGCAGAACTGCAGTCAGCTGAAGTAGCCTGCAGTGCTGCATTTAACCACTGCGCCACCTTGGCTCTGTGTGGACTTCAACTCCCAGAATTCCCTAGCCAACATGCTCTATCCAGGGGTGTCAAACTGGCGACCCCGCAGGCCGGATGCGTCACGCCCAGGCCACGCCCATCCCATCTCCATGAATGGGGAAAACACTGGGAAACATCACGTGACAGCAATGTGACACCATGAGTTTGACACCCGGGCAGTCTATTCCATGGAGATTGTTGACAAATATAGTAAAGGTCTTGATCTGAATAGCTAATGAGTCTCTCGTCCTTATATGCCTAAAATTCACTCTTCCGCCCTGGGTTTGACTTATACCTACCTTTACGATGCTAATGGGTTTCCGTGAGAGATGAAAAGTGGTGTAGCACAGGAAGGTTAGCACCAGAATTAATCCCCGGTACCTATGAAAAATATACAACAGGAGGATGAGAGGAACATTACAGGAGGAGGTTAAATCAGTGACTATAGCAGGGCTGCCTCAATTCACAGGAGTGTTGTAGGACTTTAACTGCCAAGTCTTAACACTTAATGGAACAGAAGTGAGAGTAAATACTAAATATTTGTTTTCATCTTATTACCCAGTTCTTTGTCCTGACTCCACCCACTTTTTTAGAGCCTGGTCTTCCATTAAAAATTGCAGTCCCTGGTCTCTTGAATGTCGTATACCAATAAAGAACACGGCCAAGATTCCCAGGGTATCTAAGGCTTAACTCCTTAACAAAAGGCACCTGCAGGATTAAGGTTTAACCAGCTTCCTAAAGTCCTCCAATAGTGGGACAGCTTGGATCCAGATTCATGGCTGCTTAGGGTGCAGTGATGCTCTCCAAAGCATCTCAGGCATCCTGTGCAAGTGAAATTCTACAACTAAAGTTACTAAAAAGCAGGGGACAAGTGATTTTTTATTCCTATTGGGAATTGGAAATAGTTTGTATTCTATTGTATGCATCTTTGCTGCCTTGCATTAGGCTCTGAATTCTCCTTCAGTTATGCATCACAAGCAATGGACAGAGTGCAGGAACATGCCATTTTCAAGACATCTATACTGCCAAATATTCTTGGGGAAGCTTTCTAAAACTTACCAACCATTCAATCAACTCAGCATTTCAACACAGGAGAACCAACGGTCTGACTTTGCTTAAGCCAGCGCTGTATGAAATAGCAATAGCACTAGCAGTTAGACTTATATACCGCTTCATAGGGCTTTCAGCCCTCTCTAAGCGGTTTACAGAGTCAGCATATTGCTGCCAACAATCCGGGTCCTCATTTTACCCACCTCGGAAGGCTGGAAGGCTGAGTCAACCTTGAGTCTAGTGAGATTTGAACAGCCGAACTGCAGAACTGCAGTCAGCTGAAGTAGCCTGCAGTGCTGCACTCTAACCACTGTGCCACCTCGCAATTAAGTCCACTGCTAACAACAAGAGTGATGTCACGAATCTCTGGCTCATGCTGTCAATCTGGTCTGCCAGGCACATCCAGACTATGGATCCTTGATTCTGTCCCTTCACCCCTCCTCCCCCCAAAAATAACCCATAAATCACTTCTTTAGAATTCAACAGCCAAGGTGCATCTTTTGTTTATATATCATGTCCTGAAAAGTCTTTCCTTACACCCATTTTTTGACACAAAACAACTTATCTCAGGTTTATTTAAATCCCAACTGGTTGAAAACCAACAAGCAACATCCAGATTTTGAATTTCCTCACTTAAAGCCATCATTACAATTATTATTTTCCCTACTCAGCATCCTTGTTACTTCCCTTATTTGCAATCTTGCTATCTAGAGTGACTTCCTTGCAATGACAAAAATGTGGTAAATTTACCATAATGGAAAAATTGGCATTTTTTTTTTTAAAAAAAGATTATTTTTGGAGGGTGGAAGGAATAACTAAATGTCCCTTCTTAGATGTTCTCCCTTTCCTAAGATAAGGGATCTAAAATGCTCAAACTAACCCTACAAGTAGAACTGCTCCAGAATATTTGTTGCTTTTTTGGATGGGATAGAGGTTTGCATTAAATTGCTTTCTTCTGCTGGGTTCAGATATCATGATTGAATGAGGATCTTTCAGCTTATCCTTCCATGTGATTGAATCATGTAAACGAATGCAAAAATTGCTTGGCAAGTAAAAAGATTACCCAGTAGGTAAGCCAATTTTCTTACAGAATGAGCAATAGAGTCGTTCCTTGTGAGGTCTTCAGTGTTCTCCGAGTTTCATAAACCAAGCTCAGAGAGCACAAAAACTCCATAATTCAACTTGAACTACCTATTCAGTATTTTCTTCCATTAGAAACTTTCCATTCTCCAAAGGAAGTCAGGTCAAGCAGACCTTCAGAGTCACATGAGGAGTGGCCGGTGGAAATTAAAGCATGTAAGGAAAGTTGACTTCAGTCTTCTGGGGGCTGCAGAAGCAAGAGGAGGCCAACTTGGAGAAAACAAATTTCAGCCTCCTCTTGAGAGCTCTTGCTTATCAACGCTTTTATCTTATCACGCAAGATAACCAAGAGACAATCTCTGAAAGGTAGACCCAGAGACGCTTCCAAATCAATTGTAAAAAAAAAATTGCGCTGAGTTATTTCTTCATCAGACAGTGCTAACAGGATCTTTTCAAGAGGAAGAACAAATGGGAAAGCAGAAATCAACTTCCTGTATTTAAATGATCCTCTGCTTGGGATCATATTACTGTTTTGTTTTATTTGGTTCTGAATAATAGGTTTTAAGATTTTTATTTTTTTTGAACTGCCTCGTGTTTGTTTGGTCACTGTGTGTCTAGGAACAGCTTCCGGATCTTAATGTTGATCCTGATTCTTTATAGTGTTCAGTTTATTCAAAGTCAACACTGTTGAAGCAGTGGGTGACTAAAGACAGCGTTGGATTCGCTATATACATTTAAGAGTGTCTCTTTTTTCTGTATGGGGGCCATTAATCCTATTTGGTCTTCTTGGAAAATTGCAAACTTGGCTCTCTTCCTTCTTGTTACAATTGCTTTCACTTCTGCCTCAAGGCCAAATTGAGGTATTCAAAGAGATTCTGGAGAAAACACAGTTTTTAAAGACCCAGGAAAAATCTGACTCAGGGAGGATGTGGTTTTTGTACAGCGATACAGGTTGAAACCCCTCAGCCACATATACTCAGCCACATATAATGGAGGGTTAACGTCATTGCCCTGAGGATCATGGGTTGCCCTCTCCCCTCTTTGGAAGAGCTTTATAGCTCCCGCTGCCTTAAGAAAGTTCAAAACATTCTTAAAGATCCATCTCATCCTGGGCACCTCTTTATTTTTTTGAA